AGCCAGAAGAACTCTTAAGGGGAGTTTTGTCCAACCTTGGCCATTTTAATTGGAGTGGACTCAACCCCCAAGATTCCCCCAGCCAGAAGGGGGGGCGGGGGAATTCTGGGAGTTGAAGTCCACTCATCTTAAAGTGGCCAAGTTTGGACAACACTGCCTTAAACCAACATGCCTTTTCTCAGGATTATGGTACAGTTGCATTGGCCAGCTCCATAATCCCAGAATAAAGGTGCTTTGTGAGCACCCACACACACTTTGAAGCACCTTTTCCCCTTCAAACCCAAAGTACTACATAGATGTAACAAACATACTTTTTACACTTTGGCCCAGTTAAACCCTCAGAAGCCATGCATCAGTTGCATAGATATAGAAAGGCCACAGAAAACAACTTTGTTCTTGTAAGTGAACCTTTACCTGGACATAACATTTAAATTATTTATCATGAACTGTGAAGTCATAAATCTTAATACTTCATAGTAGACAGTGCACTACATGGAAGCTCCAGTTTTAGAGACATTTTTGCATCTTTTATCTTCAACCTATCTGGCTTAATCTTGAGCTCTAGGTACCTAGCCTCAGTTTTTAAAAAAGCTGTATTGGCAGATCTTAATAAAAATGTTATCAGCCATGTAATAGCCATACTGCAATGAGAATAGAAAGCCAGTTTGGTCTAGTGGATAAGGTACCAGGCTAGAAACTAAGAGGCGGTGAATTCGAGTCCCGCCTTAGGCACGAAGCCAGCTGGGTGACCTTGGCCCAATCACCCTCTCTCAGCCCTAGGAAGCAGGCAAGGGCAAAGCACTTCTGAAAAACCTTGCCGAGAAAACTGCAGGGATTAATCCAGACAGTTGCCAGGAGTCAACACTGACTTGAAGGCACGCACACGCATGCACACACACACACACTGAGAATAATATAATAGAAATGACTAACTCCCCTGCAGAACTTTTGCCTTTCTGTGCAGTAAGATTTGCAAATTGCTTATATAAATAAAACCAATAGTTACTAAAAGCTTTATCTCTAATTACATGTGTACATAGAGTTTGATGGCCCCATAACCAGTTGATATGGCAGTTTTATTCTGAAAGAGTAAACACTGAAAGGAGACTAAGTTTTCAATTTGCAATCCTATACCTACTTATCTTGAAATTAACACCAGTAAAGTCAGTGAGCATATATCTGAATAGTTATGAACAGAATAGTACTCTTAGTCTACAGAAAGGATAAACAAGGTAACAAAGAACACACCAGCTATCCAACAAGGCTATAGAAATAGGCTATAGAAATAGCTAAGGAAAGGAGACTGGAAAAAGCCAGAGGAGACTGTGGGAAAACTAGAAAACTTCCAATGACAGGTGAGAAGTGATAAAGAGGTTTATCTGAACTCAGAAAGTATAGAAGAAAATAACAGTGAGAAGAACAAGGGATTCAAAGATATCAGAGAAATCATGGGAAGATTCCAACCTGTTATAAATGCCATAAAGAATACGCTTGGAAAGGAGTTAATGATGGTGAAATTAATGTGAAAAAAGATGGATGGAATATATGGAAAGCCTGTACAAGAAGGCCAAGTCAGATGACATTGTATTTTGAGAAAGAGAGAGAGAGAGAAGAGGAGGAGGAGGAGGAGGAGGAGGAGGAGGAATCAGTGGTGGTTGAGGAGGACATCAGGATGGATGAAATCCCCATAGAGGTCTTAAAGGAGGCTGGCATGGAAACAATAAAGAGCATGCTAGAAATATGGAAGAAAGCACCATGGCCCAAAGACTGGAGAATGTCTATATCCCTAAAAAGAGAATTTTAAAGGAATGTTCTAATTAAAGGACAATGATTCTAATATAACATGCCAGCAAGATACTTTTGGAAATTCTGCCAGTGAAGTTAAAGAGAAGTAGCAATTGAACAAGATCTTTAATATGTAAAATACCTTCAAAAGAATATAGGTGCAGACACCATGGAATCTGTATGGTCTAGAGTCGAAAGTGGTGACAAAAGAGCCTCCTTCCAAAGAACATCTGCCAGGACATGGTAGTTCTTTACAGCTCCATTGGCCCATTGTACATTTACTGGTGGAAAGAAATATACAGGTCAGCTATTAACCAAGTAGATCTGATTGTATCATAACTCCCACTTTCACTAACAATATTTTGAAATCAACAGATCTTAAGCAAGAGTTATTATGAAAATTCAAATAGGCATCTAAAGATAAGAATAATCAGTGTCATATTTTGACCTATGTGTATATCTACTGAGCCTTATTCGGGAATAAAAAAAAAAAGTGAATATGTAAGCAATACGGAATAGCCCCTTTGACTTTGTGTGTGTGACATCAAAGTACCCTTGATTTTACCTGTCCAGCATTATCATCTGTAGATTGAGATCCCTTTACAGAAGTTTATATTCTATGCACAAATTCCTCAGAGAGAACGTTGTAAATGCTGGGAATGGGTCGAATAGGAAAACCTCATAATGTACAGGATTTAATAATGTACAGATGGAGTTCAGTCTACCAGTCTACCGTCTGGATTTCCCAAAGTGTTATTTGTGGTCATCAATGTGCCTACATATACCTTCCTTTGTGCCTTCCAGATTCTCTGTTTCAACTGATATTTTAATTTAAATATTATTTTATTTTATTTTAAAAATAAACAAGGGCTGGCAAGCTGCAGAAACAAAGGACCAACTTGCAAGTTAAGTTTATTTTCAGATGATCACACTGGAGACTATATTATTTATCTCTTCCGAATAGTCATCCTTTTTTTCCTCTTGTGACCTTTCTGATCTCCCCTGTAACACCTGTTCCTTCCCACTCTTACATTAAGAATTCTCACATGGTTTCAGAACATAGTTACTATTATATTATTTGGATATTAGTCTTACACTAACAGAATAACTCCAGTTCATAAACAAGACTATAAGCCATTTCTATTTCAGGACCCCTAAAGGTATTCTAGATAATCTCTCAGAGCAGATTTTCAGAGGGCATGAACAAACTACAGGAAGAAGGGAGCATCACTGAAATCCACCTTTGTCCTTTCTATTGGTGGAAATATCCCAATACTAAAATTTTGCTCCGGGGATTTTCACATCAGTCAGATCTAGCTCTTTGGAGAAGGCTCTAATGCGGGGAAATGTGGACGGAAAGAGAAGAAGAGGACATCCAACAGCAAGGTGGATTGACTCAGTTATAGTGGCAATGAGTGCACCTTTGGAAGATCTGAAAGATCAGATTAGGGACAGATCATCATGGAGAAAATCTATGTGGTTGCTAGGCGTCTACAATGACTTGGTGGCACGTAATCAATCAATCAATCACACCAGTGGGAGATGACTTGGAATCTAGTATCATTTATTACTTGGGAATTTGTTTGGTAAACAATATTAATTGTGTTAATCATTAATGTTAATATTACAAATTATAAATGGGAGATGGAGTTGTTTATCACTCTTGAAAAATAAATTGCCCGTGGATGCTTATGTATCATTTGTGAAATATTCATACTTACAGATTGATCACACAACACTTGAAATGTATTAATTCTTTTCTTATAACAAAATACTAGCCTCACTTTGTATAACATAAATGCCATTATTGAAATATCAATGATAAGTCTTGCAAAAGACTTTCAATTCTCACCACTTCTCACAAGTTGTTTGCATGACATCACCAGGAGCATATATCTTCCCATTCAATGTGCATGGACACTGTTCAATAGGAATGCATGTTTGGCTTTTTGAAATGTCATCCAAAACAGTGCCTGATAAGAGAGGAAAACAGGAGAATAAATTAAAGAGAAACATTTTAATTAATCTTGGCTGCACAAAGCTTGAAGTTTGGAAATAAAACTATTGCTCTGAAGTAAATTCGAGGGTGGATCAGTTCACTTAACTATCAATATCATAGCCAACTTCCAGTTTTTCTATCCGTTTTGAATCCTGATGTGGTAAAGTGCCAGCCTAGATGTGCATCTCTGTCATTAAATACTAAGAAAGCCTTTTGCATAGGAAACAATGAAGGAAAGCACTTCTATCTCAAAGTATGTAAGGCACCTGGCATTATGCTTAGGATTTTGTGAAAGGGTTACTTAATCAGCTCTCTTTGCCCTAGGGGAAAATGACAAATGCTACTGCTATCATTTGCTGCTATACTAATCTTGAGAACTGATATCCAAATTCTGATTCAAGAGAAATATTATTCATATCATACTGGGATCACTTCATCTTATGAGCTGCTTCTGTTCTCTAACAGCTTATTGACCATGGAGTTGATTCAAAGTACTAAAAACCAGATGCTTTTGCCATATACAATTGCTACCTTTCTAATGAGATATTGCAGAGGTACTATTAGAATACCCATTACAAGAAAATCCAGGTAAATAACATAAAACAATCTCTTGAAAGGGAGAGAGACCTATTGCTATAAATGCTGTGTCCTGAAACATCAGATACAAATATAGCCCATACAAAAGCACTGCTACAGTAGTATATTCCTCAAACAATTAGCAGTTTAAATATATTCATGCCAAGATAATGGTACATGTTATCTTTATTTACCTTCTGGACAGAAGCAGCCATAGGTACAGTAGCTGGAACAGCTGTATTCAGGATTGGAACATGTCTTGAGACATGTGGAACCACATTCTTTATAATTTTGATTACCTGGACATCTTCCCAGAGCTGCAAAATAAAATAATTCAAAAGATTTCCTGCTTTGAACAAAATAAAACACTAGAATTACAATGCGATTTTGAGATTGGTCCACCTCGCCCTTAAAATATCAACTGAGTCCATCCAATAATATTACACATATTTTTCCTCTACTCACTGGAAACTACCAATTCTCCTTCTTTAGCCAGTTATAACTCCTGATGGCCTCCCAGTTCCCAGTCTCTTAAATTTATCAGCACCCATCATTTCTGCTTAGTAAACCCCATGACTGCCCTCAGTTCATTCATCATTTCCAAGTAAGCAGTTTGATATGTTGACGAAGATTCTCAGTCATCCAGGTGGAATTAACTGGAGGTTGAGTCATGGCAACTGGACTTCTTTTCTTTTGGTTTGATATGTTTTGCTGCTTGTCTGAGCAGCTTCTTCAGTCCAGAAAGTTGGTTAGGGGGGACCCCATAAATGTCTTCCAGGGTGGCTGTGTTTCTTGCTAACCTGATGGGCTCATATTGTCAATGAGCCCATCAGGTTAGC